CAACCAGCATGTTGAAATAATTATAGAAAGCAAATTAGGTTTATCATTATTGACTTATGATTTAACAGGTTCACAACACATTTCATCACCTGATATTAAACTCAATTAAAACTATTTCAAAATCATAAGAAATGAAAAAACATATATTTTCAACAATTCAAATCATAATTCAACAAAATTATATCAACAAATCACGTTCAAAATTTTAGAAGCCATAACATAAATTCTCATTTCCTTAATATTTGACGATTGTCTGCTACTACTGGACGAATCGTCAGTCACCTTTGCCTGTTATTCTACTAATTTCTACCTGAATCACCTATTTATCTATTCTCTTTCAGTGAGTCTCAAATTCTTATTCAAACCATTTTTTCATTATTCTTTTTTTTTTGTCTATTTTTTTAAACTTATTATACACCTATGAGATGTGGTTTGGATAGAAAAATGAATGTTTGTGTGCTTAGATGATTAATGAACTTATTTGTGATTTGGAAAGAACGAAGTACGGAACATATTAATTATATGGAAATGTTAAAGTTTCCTAACTAGTACTACTACCTTCTACTTTCATAAAGTAGTTAGAGGATGAAATTCGTCAACTCCCAATAAGCCGAAACTCCATCAATATTTATACATCTAAACATATCTCGTTCAATTTTTATTTAACAACTCACTAGCAAGACGAAAAGAGTTTTAACTAAACTATAATAGCAAAATATAACTCTACATTTACTAACCACTATATGACAATATGAATGTCAAACAAGAAAAAGTAAATAAAAATGAAGCAAGATGTATTTGCTCTATTAACATCTTTTAGCAACCAATTTTGAAAATAATTTATTCATAGGTTTCATGGTAAATATGAATGTAATATAACATTTAACATTATAAGTTCTCGTTTAAACTTATATTTAACTTATGTTAAATACATTGTTATAATGTTGATAGATAAATAGTGGATTAAAACTGAACCAAACTGCGAATCATGGTTTGATTTGGTTTGAAAAAAAATTTAAATAGCATAAAATGGTTTGAATTAAAAATATGGTGCAAAATGCCCAAATCGAACCGCGTTCACCCTTAGTTAACGCATTTTAAAATAAATGTCAAATATTCAATGCATTTCAACATTACTATTTATTTTGCTTATTTATAAATACAATAATCAAATGAGTCTTTTTACTTCATCTATATATATATATTTTTTAAAAAGGTAAACCATAGTTAGAAATAATTTATGTTAATTTGAGAATAAGAGTGAGATGGAAAAATTTTGAAACATAAATGTGAGAATGTATAAAAGTATGAGCCTTTCATACAACAAAAACATATGATTCGATGTTCCATATTTAAATGTTAACCTTATTAAGAGAAGCAATTCAAAATAGAGATGGCAATTTGGCTTGCCGACTCGAGCTGTCCATGGCTGGACCCGAAAAAAGCTCGAGCTAGGTGGTAGAATCAAGCTAAGACTCGGGTTGAGCCCCATTCTGGAGAGTCGTCCAAGCTCGAGCCGGCTCATGTGACTCGAATCATAAAAAATAATAATAAATAAAATTTTCTAGCTGCCTTTTAAAACGGAAGCTGCCAAAAGGCAGCTTCCTTTTTAAAGGTTGCTGCTTATATCAGGCACAACAATGTTATTACTAAGGAATGGGCAAAAAAATCAAGCTAGCCTGCCTTGGCTCTGTAAGGTCTGAGCGAAAAGCTCGGGTCAAGCCTCGATTTTTTGGTCGAGCTTTTGCTTTGCTCAACTCAGGCCAAAAGAGACTTAATTTTACCCGAGCCAAGTCCAAACTTCAAGTTTTGGCTCGCAAGTCAGCTCAACTCGAGTCGTTGACACCCTTAACTCAAACCCTTATGTTGGTCTATATTTCAGTGTTTAATCATTGTGGGATTAATCATTTAATACGCCTCCTCAAGATGGTGATTCATTCAATCATATTAATATTGAAATTTTCATGCTCATTTTTTTAGTTTTAATTAGATCAAATTGTTTTATTAGAACTTAATGGACTTTGAGGTTCACTGGTCATCCAGAGATGTACGTTCCCATTTTGCTTGGTGCCGATATCATAAGTCATAGAGCTGCTTTATCCTTTCCATATATGATATAAATTACTCTATTCCAAATCACGTGAGTAGACATTACTAAGAGACATTCCGACAAAATGGAGTGACGCTTCACAACCTTCATTCTAGTCGACAATTGTGGGAACATATCAATTTTACAAAGAGGAGCAGCACAAAGTCTTATATGTTGATCTATATTTCGGTGTTTAATAGATGTAAAACTTATCCCTTAACGATAGAATTACTAAATTCGTGGTATAAATATATTTAGTCTTTGTAATAATTACATGTAATTATCAGCTTATTGTGAAAAATTCATAAACCGTAGAAAAAAGGTGTTTTCATTTTTCATAAATCATCTATCATAAACTTTCCAACACGTAAAAACATTATTTATTCTTTTATATCTTTATCACGTGATTATATATACATTACTCGTTGATGATTTTCATATGACTAAGCATCACATAGACGTTTTACTATAAATATATTTATTAAATGCTTAGTGTCCTTCATTGTCCTTGAAAAAGAAATGATAATTAATATAGTAGGTTGGAGTTAATTGTATTTAACGTTGGAAATTGACATGTATCTACTATCTGCCGCACAACCAACCTAAATGTTACATGTACTTTCTGCGGTTAATTCTACATCATTCATATTAAATTATTATGGGTGCATTTGATTGCAGAAATTTACATAAAAAGAAAATAAATTTTAAATAATTTATTTATCTAGAACTTATTTATATAAAAATTGTCAATTAAATGTATTTGATTGATTTAATTTTTAATTTATAAAATATTATACTCTGATTTTTATTGATGGGTAGATGAGAAAGTGAATTTCCTAAAAAATAAAATTTTACACCCTAAAGAAAATATTTTCCTTGATTCTGAGAAAAATATGGTTACGTGACCAAAAGTATGAAAATATTTGAGGCAAACAGTATAAAAGTAAGAATATGAATGGAAAAACACATTTTTTTATAGAAAATATTAGCAATTAAACACACCTAATTGTCCCTTTACTCTGTAGGGATTAAAATCATATTTTTAATAAATTTTAATAAAAATTGATTAAATATGTGATTGAGAAATTTCGTGGATCTCATAAAGTAAGTCGTTAAAATTAATTATTAATTTTGATTTATACAGGGACTTGATGTGTTTTGTCCGCATTATCAACAATTAATAAAAGAAGAAATAAAAATAAAAGAGAGAGAAACCATAACCACCCAACCATTAATAAAATCATTAATTACTATATCATTCGATGAAGAATAAAGTTATTCTCAATCGCTAACTAAGAATTAAAATAGGGTAATTAGCACAAACGTTCCTACTTTTCATATTTTTGTGAAAAACGTCCATACATTTCTCGTTTTTTGACGCATTTCATGCCTACATTTACCTTTTCTTGTGCAAAACATCATTTTCATCATTTTTCTCAATAAAAAAGTTATAAAATGACTAATATATCATTCTATTTAAAAAGAAAATAAAATAGAGAACTAATTATAATCATAGTCCCCAATTTTTAAAAAAGTTTAAAGAGTCCCAAATAAAAAAATAAAAAATTTCAAAAAGTCCCAATACAGTTGAAAAAACAATATGGGACACTCCATGTTCACACCAAACAACCTGAGTTGTTTTTCTGCAACCGTACCTTGGACCACCGGCATCGATTCAAACATCGTCCGCTCAACCCTAACCCTACCTACCCTTGGCATTTGCATCGTTCCGAGCTAATGTGGAGCTAATGCACTAGTTCTAGCTCCGGCTCTAGCTATAACATTACTATTGCAGCCATAAGGTCCATTACCATATCCATAAGTATTACTGGGTTTCATCAAGTGTGAATAATCCCTGGTCAATGGTGGCTTTTGTGATTGAAAATATGGAGGATTTCCACCGGCGAAGAGTCCTTTGGAAAGAGAATTGGTATGGAACCGAGAAAGGAGGAACAAGAGGAGAAATCACAAGCACATATACCTTAGAAGAATTTGCAGAATTGGTGTAGAATTTCTTTGAAAAATTGGATCAATTGGAGGTTAGATTGAATCAATTGCATGTACACCCAAAGTCTTATGAGGCTGCGGGACGCTCGACTGGTGGCAATTTGGTGGAAAAATAGCTTGAGACCCATTAATTGGAAGAGACGCTACTGTCTCATTGTGCTTGCAAACAGGCTATTTTTACTAAAAAATTCATCAACATTTAAGGCCTGTTTTGGTGATGTTAATCCATTACGACGTTCGCGTAGATAAGAGAGATGACCGGTGGTAGTGGACGACCATGAGTGTTGCCGGAAGTGGTGGAATCGATTTGTATAGGGCGCAAAAAATCGCAATTATTTTCCACCAATTTCTGTCTCTAAATTGGATGTTTGGATTGGTTGTTTGTTGAATTGTGCTATTGGCGAGAGGTCGTCAGCATGGAGGGTAGTTTCTGGCGACCAGGGTAGCTAACGAAAATTGATGGTGTAGTGGTGGAGGAGGTGGAGGTGGAGATTTTTTTTTTTTTTAATTTGGGACTCTTTTGAACTTTTTAAAAATTGGGACTATGATTGTAATTAGTTATTTATTTATTTATTTAAATAGAAGAGTACATTAGTCATTTTATAGCTTCTTATTGAGAAAAATGATGTTTTACACAAAAAAGGTAAATGTAGGAATGAAATGCACCAAAAATGAAAGGTAAAAACATTTTTCACAAAAATCATGAAAGATAGAGATATTTTGTGCTAATTAACCAATTAAAATGTATTACAATTTTATCAAACAGCGAATTAATTATGTACAACTAGTAATTAGTTTAAAAATTGTTTTGTAATATATTTTTATCCAACTTGGAGTGTGGAAGTGTGAATTTATTTTTATTTTTATTTTATGCATATAGCAGCGAGTATATATACTCGCGCGTAGCGCTTTCTACCAGCACTCCCTTCTCTATCAGATTCGGGGGTTGGTTTACGGTTTACCGGGAAAATACACACTAGCACATGCAGAATCTATCCCTCCGTTCTCCGCTGACCTTTATCTCTATCTAAAACTCACTGAGCCACCTCCGAGTTTTATGACAATTTTTAATGGAAGTCGACAGCACACACGCTCTCAAGCCCTTTGATCTCAACTCGCTACTGTCTCGTCCTTCTATAAACCATTCGGAATTTCGGAGCCACGAGATGTCGGAGGAGGTTCAAACGACGGTGAATGTTCAGGAACCGGATAAGTCACTTTCGGCTGGTGCTCCAGCAGGTGTTCCGACCAGATGCCCCTTGCGTGCGGCCATGAGAGTCCAGAAGGTTTACCGGAGCTATCGTACTCGGCGCTTGTTAGCAGACTCCGCTGTGGTTGCTGAAGAGCTCTGGTATTCTTTTCTTTAAACGTAAATAACTAGACTTTAGAATGCTTTCTAAAGTTTTATTTCTATTTTTTTGTTGAAATTTAGGTGGCAAGCGATAGATTATGCGCGACTAAATCACAGTACTATATCCTTTTTCAATTTCTTGAACCCAGAAACAGCAGCATCGCGGTGGAATCGTGTCCGTTTGAATGCTTCAAAGGTAAAAAAAGAAGAAGAAGATAAAAAAGTGATTTCTTCTTGTAATTAATTAAACAATTTTTTTTATCTGAAGAAGAAAGTTGAAAAATGAAAAGGGCTAGATATAAAGATTAAACATTTGGTCGTATTACTAAAAAGACCTTGATTATTTGATTTATGTTTGACTAAATATGTGGCCAGGTGGGCAAGGGCTTGTCTAAAGATGCCAAGGCACAAAAGTTGGCTTTTCAACACTGGATTGAGGCTGTGAGTTACTCCTCTGGGCAGGAGTTCAAAATATCTATTGTTAACTGCGAGCTATGTACTGTTGCTATTGGATAACACATACTTTATTTGATAATGACTCTTTGATTCTTATGTTCTTAATCTAGATTGATCCAAGGCACCGATATGGGCACAGCTTGCATCTTTATTATGAAGAGTGGTGTAAGACTAATGCTGGTCAGCCCTTCTTCTACTGGTGAGTAGTGAGAAAACTCTGAATTAATTTGATGACATGAATTTCGACTTTTGAGTGTCTTTTTTGGTACTTTGTAATGATTAAATTGATATTGTCTAGTGTCATAGTTCTTTATCTAAGTAGGGCAAGAATGATGTCTTAAGTCTAGTTGCCGTTAATGAGCTGAGTCAAAGGACCAAATGCATGATCCTTAATATTTAAGTGTTGATCATAAAATAATGATCTTGTAAGTTTCAAAATAGTTTGAGAAAAATTCCTACCAAATATGTAGATGAAACTTGTATCGGTGTTCTTGCCTTTTCAAGCCCATAATAGTGGCTGGATTGTTATGAAAGCAAAACTATTAGAACTGGTAACATTAGAGTTATTGATTTCCTATAACCAAAAGCAGATAGAAACCAACATATGTACTCTGTACAGGCTGGATCTAGGAGATGGCAAAGAAGTTGATCTTGAAGAGTGCCCAAGATCAAAGCTTCGTCAACAATGCATCAAGTATCTTGGACCCGTACGTGATCGAAATTGCATTACTTTCTGCAAGGCGTTTTGTTTAAATTTTTTATGGTTTTGTTTATATAAATGATTGGAAGCATCCATGATACTATTGGAACATATATAATGCTCAGTAGTTACTGATGCAACCGCAATAGTTAATGATGCAACACTTAGAGTGCATCTTGACTATATTTCTACTCTTATTGTTCTTGGTTCTGACTCGTGTCTTTTAAATCTGGAGTTCTTAATTTTTTATTTATCTTTGCTGTGGTCAGCAAGAGAGAGAACATTATGAATACGTGGTTGATCATGGGAAAATATTGCACAAACAAACGGGAATATGTCTTGACACAAACAATGGATCGAGGGGTTTGAAATGGATATTTGTGATGAGCACCTCTAAGAGACTTTACGCTGGAGAGGTGAGGTCTAAAACTAAAGTGGCTATATCTTTCTTTTTACCCTCATCTAGAAATTCTAATTTGTCGCAATATCTAAATACTAATTGCCTCAGAAAAAGAAAGGATATTTCCATCATTCCAGCTTTCTTGCTGGAGGGACTACTTTAGCCGCTGGGAGGCTCATCGTGGAAGATGGAGTACTTAAGGTACTTTCCTGGTAGCTGTCATTATCAAATCCGTTGCTTTTAAGACAGATCAGTCTTTTGCATTATATAATACTAAGTTTCATATTTGGTTCTGATTTTTATATATGTTATCGCTCTAAATTCTGCACTGTACTAAATTCTGGGTCCTTCGATTAACTGGTGCTTGTGCTTTCTTTCAAGTTGAAAAATCTTAGACTAACAGTTCTTATGAAGACCAAATTGTGCTGAAAATTGACAATGCCAATAATGGATGGTTTTATAATTATTTCAATGATATCTGTGGAGAAGCTTCATTAGTTTGCTTTGACTTTATTGAAACTAGTCAATCATTATAATTCGAAGTCCGAAGCATGAAACCTCCTATTAGCCAGATTGAGAAAAATCCTGCTTGATTCTCATTTAAGATGCTTGCATACTGGTAGAATCCCATAATTTGCTTGTGATTTGTGAACAGAAAATGAACAGTGTTATGTTTATATTTGTATATTTTTGTACTGAAATTAAAAAGCTGAATGTAGGGGGGGGGGGGGGATTTCTAGAACACTCCACAGAAACATCAGGGGAACAAAAATTAATATTCAAATTTTTTCTTGTAATACATATTTTAGGGGATGAATTCTCAACTTAGTACATCTTTTTGTACTCAAAACATGATATGCTAAAATTTGTGTCGTTAGTTGTAGTTATAATTTAAGGATTCTTCTTCTAGTTCTTAATTATGTTGGATTGATTTGTATTAATTTTTTAATTGCCGTTTGATTGAATGATCAACTTTTATATGTGTTTGTGACTTACTTTATTTTCGAAAGGTCAACGTAGGTGTAGCTTATGATTTACAATCAGCTTAAAATTCTATAGACATTATGTTTTGTGCATTTTAATTGAATAATCTTGGTGGTGAATGAAGTTTTATATATTCGAATTCAGGATAGTAATCTTTAGGATTGTTGTGAAAATAGGTTCAATTTACTCGGGAGATATTGTTAGACAGCTTAGGATTATTGATTGTCAATTTAAGCGTAAATTGAATTTAAAGTGATAATTTGAGGATTTAAATGGATACTAATGGTGAAGTCGGATTCCTATTACAACTTTCTTACTTAATTTTTCTCCAAAACATTACATTGGCACTTATTTATACTTGCACTTAGTTAAAAGGTGTAGTTATAACTTAGATAGAATCATTGTTACTTAAGTTCAATCATCTATTGTGTGTATTCTATAATTTTGGATAGATCGAAGTTAAGCTAAATTCTAATCTTCATGCGAACGATATTCATTTATTTATCATTATTATTTCTTGTCAATGACCCCGTATGCTTAAAATTTCACTAAATGCAACATGCAAGAGGATATATTTAGTTAAAAAATTAATTATTGACTTTGATTTAAATATTTAACAAAAATATAAGCTACGTCAAACATGGCTATAATTCAATAGTGGGGAGGGAGAGAAAACTCAAATTAATATACCATTCCTCATCTTTAAATGCATGGGTATATTTATCCATAAATGATAAATCATAGATCGAATCGTCAAATAAAAAGAATTCAATGCTATCATACAACTTTATATCAACTAAGTTCATGAAATGGAGATAAGTTGATATCACAAGGACGAAGTTTGGAAGAATACTTAGCCAAATTTTCGCCTATGATGGCACTGAGGTTCTCGCTCAGTCAGCCCACGAGTTTGCACAATGCACACAAGAAAACAATAAAGACGGCAATGTAAAGGAACGAACACAAATTTTTGGAGGAAAATGGAGTCAACCTGAATGAAGTCGAGGTATGTCACCTCCATTTTCTGTTCCACAGACTATCACATACGAGATCCTTGACCATGGATCTTCCCCTCTTTCAGAAACTGATTTGATAAGTAGCGTTGGAGAAGCAAGAGCGTTGAATTGATTTTCAGAGCATTTAGGCTATTGCTCTTTTTTCGTTTTTTTTCTTCTGTTCATGTAATTGTGGTTCTGGGTTTTTGCTTGAGATATGACGAATAGTGAAAATTACCCCCACTGATATGCAAATTCTGGCATGACTCTGATTGAGCTACATGAAAGGACAATGGATAAACCACAGGAACTAAGCATTGCTCCTGAAAATATGGTTTTCATTAAATAAGCAAGCGAGCTTGTTGTCACCAAGAGGAGGATAGTTTTGATGCACTTAAATAGGTTTCTTCAGTGAGGCTTGCCGTTCTCATGTTGGTTCACACTTTGAGTTTCCTTTCTGATGTTAATTCTTTCTTTTCAACTTCTGATTTTTAGTATTTAAGCTGAGAGTGATGTCCCGTGTCTTAAATTATCAGATACGAAAGGCAAATGATGACTATGAGAGTTATGAAAGCGGAAAACCTGCTAAAGATTGGTCTACAACTGAAGTTTCGTCAGTCTCAGATTCCATCCAACCTGATCTTCCCTTTGAAGACGAAAAAGACCCTTCTTCAGAAGCAACCGAAGCTTCTCAAACTGAAACTAAAGTCGAATACAAGAGGATGCTCTCTGGTGGTCTTCAGAGCCCTAAAGCAGATGTCCCGAAGAGGGAAATATTACAAAGGATTAATTCCAAGAAGGCCGCTAGTTCATATCAATTGGGTCAACAACTCTCCCTCAAATGGTCAACTGGTGCTGGCCCCAGAATCGGATGTATTGCTGACTACCCTGTTGAATTGAGATTACAGGCATTGGAACTTACTAACCTCTCGCCTCGAACTTGTCAAGAATCGTCGACCCCAGGGAGGGTTGCTGTTATTTCTTCACCTACAGTTTGCAGGCAAAACTTAGTAATGGAAATATAACAAGCTCGACTTTCACTCCCGTGTTTTTAGCTTCTCTCCTACCATTTCTCCTACAGTGTATTGTGTTGTGTATTCGCACATTCTGCTGACATTTATTTTACAATCTCAACACTGTAGTCTGATCTGTCCCTGCCTGCATATCTTCATAGTTAAGTAGCATTTGCTGTCAGTAAATGAAGACGGGTTTTTCAAGCTCCACTTTGATCTTTATATGCACCATCCTTACCTAATAATAGTGTAAACTTTGAGCTCTAAGTCACGGATAGAACTAATTTTCTGGTTCATTTTGCTCTTTCATACAGAATCTGTTGATTTTCAACGACGATAAAAGCTGAGTTATGATGGTTCTGTCCCGTTCTAGTGAAACCAAACTGTGCTACACCATGTCCAACCCCCGTGTCTATCCTCGTGCATGATACTAGTGTTCCCAACTCATCTATTAGACGAAATTCATTTCTTTTTGCCAAAATTTGATTTGCATATTATTTTCTGTATATCCATTTTCTAGGTGACGTGACTGACCTCACCAGCGGTGGAGGACAATCAACTTCTATCAACTTTTAAATGAAGAAAATCAGTATTCGACCTTTCATTAAAGTTGGACAATTATTCCATGTTGGAATTGTCGAAATCTTCATTAATTATCATGATAATGTCTTACTTTCAAATTTTTAGACGCCAACCTAGGTAAAGATTGAGAAGTAAATTCTAGTTTCATAAAGCTAAATAAGATGACTTATTTAATGGAAATTTGGTCAACTTTCGTCATTGGGGTTGATTGTGCAATTAAAACGAAAAATTGACAACTAATTTGTTCTTTTTTAGGAAGGGCGATAACTCACTTGGTACTTCAGTGATAGGGTTGAGACTAATTGTAATATTTTCCATACTATTTCACGATACTTGGCTTTTTGGATGCGCAAATTAGGACTATGCTCTTTAGCTTTAGATTTGTTCAACAATCAATAGTCAAATATTATTTATTCGGGTTCTTGATTTCATACTTAGAAAATTATCGAAAACTCTAGAAAGCAATGCTATGTATAGTGAGAGATTGAGATGGTTTTGAATGATTTAAGTCAACGACAGAGCATGACCAAATTTATAGCTTGTGTGAACGTTAAAAATCTGTTCGATGGAAACAGATTTTTAATTGACATCAGGATTCAAGATTTCCTTTGCAATGAGAAAACTTTAAAATGCTCGGCCATCCAAAAGAGTAAAGGGCGATGATATTTGCTTTTGTAGTAAAGAAAACTGAACAAATTCATTTGCATCAAGTGTTGGCGTGGTGGTCCATATTTAATCACCATAATGAGTTACATCCTTTAAAATTCTTTTCAACTAGTTACTCCATGGGAATAGTTAAGACTACGCTCTACTGGGTGTGCATGGTCTAATGATTAGACTTTGAGTGGTTGATCTTCGCAACTTTGTTTACTGTCTTTACTATTAATAGATGGTCATTCTTGTTGGAAATTTTCTTAATCATACACCACAAAAAATAAAACAGATTTCAATTTTCTACCAAGGATCTGCTTTGTATTTAGATAGAAACTGTGATATAGAATTATATCTTTGATAAATTTCTTGAAGAATAATTCTGATATGCAATTCGCAACTACTCACTTAGTTTGCATCATTTCCCTACCATTCATTGTTCATCGTTTCAACTTGTTGACTTCTTCACGAAGTCACACTCAATTCATCGTTTTTGTTTCTTGGTTGACAAACTCCCGTTGCTTCTTGCTATAGCATCATGAGTTTGATGGGGGATGTTAATGTAATCAATACATTAGGTTAAGGGTAGTTTAGTCTTTTACATTTCCTTTGTTTTGTAGTATTTAAACTCATTGTAATCTCATATATTTGCCCTAAATTTGGAGGCTGCAACAAGAGTTTCTCCATTCTTCACATCTGTTTGTTCTACTCCTTTGTTTGATTATCAATTTGGTTTGTTATTTTCTACACATTTGTCCAACCTCCAATAAAAATCCATATAGAAAACATGATTGAGAGAACTAGATATAATTTTTCTTGTGCTAACAAGAATATATCATATAATTGTATTGTATTATTGATTTCTCAAACCCTAGCAATCTATTAATAGAAGTCCCTTGGTCCATCTCTTAAACTTACTCATTCCAATATTTAATTAATTCAATTAATTAAATTTGACCCATGAATTAATTAATCCAAGTAAAAATTACATCCAACTGAAGTTTTAAACTATCAAATTCAAAACTAAGATTTAATTTTATTTATTTTTTTCAAAAATCAGATGATAATTTAAATTTTAAAGATTAATAATATTATTAAAAAAATTATTCTACATATTCACCCCACCATCACCTAACCTACACAATTTAATTCCCATACCCTAATTACTTCTCTCTCTCTCTCTCTCTCTCTTCCTTTTTATTTTCTCTTTCCCACCCTCTCTCTATTCTCTATATCGGAGTCGAAGCCTCTGCACAAAGCGGTACACATGGGGGTGCTTTAAAGTAGCAGCGTAATGTCGATTCAGAGAGAGAACGCTCTCGCCAATCATTGTTTCATTGAGACGTGCACAGCAGCTCCAGAGCGATATCTATCGACACTGCATGCAGATTGGCAGATTTGATGGTGTGGCATCGTGGCTTTAGAGCATTGCAATTACCAGACGGTAATAAGGTGATGGTCAGTGTGGTTTTTTTGTTGAGGTACGGCTACGAGATGAGGTATTCTATCTCGTCTATTTTCTTATGTTGATTGTTGTGGTGGTGGTGATTGTTGATAGTTCTAACGAATTTGGGAATATTTTTGGTGGGGGTTGTGTCTATGGTGTGGTACAGATGGGGACTATCACTACAAGAAATTTATGCTTTCCCTACAAATTTTATTTGTAGGGAAAGGTTCATATTTGTAGGAAAAAAATCTTTGCAGACGAAATTTTTTTAGGCACGTTTGTTGGACAGATATCGAAGGAAAAGGTATAAGACGACAATTTTTTTAAATTTGTGGGCTAAAGTTTTTTCCTACGAACGCTTTGGAGACAAACACAATTCGTCGTCTAAGTTTTCCCCCGACAAAATCATTCGTCTGCAAAAATTAATTTTACCCACAAAACAATTACGCTTTTTCCTACAAATTATGTTGTAGACTAAATTGTATTTTTTCCTACAAATAAATTTTGTGGGAAAAGAATATTTATGACAATGTGGTACATATTATTTTGTGGGCTAAACCCTATCTACAAATAATTTTGTGGGGAAAAAAATATTTGTAGGTTACTTTAAAAGAATTTGTAGGGAGAAATTAAATTATTTCATATATATATATATATGTGTGTGTGTGTGTGTGTGTGTGTGTGTGTGTGTATTTTTGCTTATATTGTAATAATTATTTTAATCTTATTCAAAATAATATAAAAAGGCCAAAGACTATAAATTAATTAAACATGTGTCAATCAATATAATCTTGAATCGAAAATATTTTACCAGAACACAAATATAACAAAATTTACAGTTCATCCAAATCCAAACTAGGTAATTTTCAATTCAGGCATCTAGTAAAAAAGTAAATAAAGAAATGACTACTAATTCAAAGAAAATACATTAAAAGAATACAAGGCTCTGAACTGATCATTAGCAAGCATGCTTTTGAGTTATGCAGCTTGTAGCAATAAAATCACCTTGGTGCTTGTGAAGGTGGATTAAGTAATAGATAACACATAGTCCCTCTAACCGTTTCTTGACTAGTTCACCAAGAATGTTTTGCTGCGATTTTTCAATAAACCTATATAAGAAGGAAGTCTTCTTAACATTCTATAACAAAATATAGATAATAAGAGAGAAGACTCAGTATTTTCACACTATTTTAATTACTCTTTATTTCACAACCTTGAAGAGTTGTTGAGGGATAAAAAAAAAATACATTTAAAACGTAGAATGAAAATGTCATGCCGTTATAAGATATTACAGTCATAGTTATCAATTCAAAGGCTGCTCCTAGGAACTTAAAAAACAAAGATTAAATTACTTCAATCCAACTTTATCTTTCTATGTTGAGCACAAGATTTTGTTCGACAACTTAAAATAGACATACATTGCTGGAATAATAGATTACCGAGAATAGAACTTCACTATAATCAACCACGTACATTTATAAACAAAATGCCTCTGTACTTTGAAACAAATACACAATCTTAAGAAACTAAACAGAAAGATTCCCTTCTTAAACTAATGTGACTCCAAGCATAATATTCATGAAGCAAAATAACCTGACAATCTACTTATTGCCTTTAGCATTTAAGATATCACTAGTTATAGCATGTCCAGCTTGTGCCAAGGAGACTAACTCCAAGTAATAATGCCAATATAGATCATAAAATCTTCCTAAGAAAATTCGGGTATATTTAGCTTTCACTAATGAGGCTTTACCATAGACAGTCCGATCACATTTCAAGTTCTCTGACCCTAGGAAAAAACATTTTCCAGTCATGTGAATTACAGGAACATAGTACCATTCTTTATGGTATTTCTTAAGTATTTTGAACAAGACAAAGAGAAGTCCCACACGTACAAATGCATACATATACAATTAGAAAATCACACACAAGAAATCGCTTAATCTACGAGTTAGAGAAGAAAATGGGAACAATACAGCTAAGCAAAATAGATCCCAGCAAACAAAACTATTTAAAAACAAAAATCAGGAAGGTGAAAATTTGCACACCTAAGAGTTCTTAGGTACGAGAAAGTAGAAAAATGCTGTATACTCCTCCTTACCCCTTGCATCCTTTCCTGAGGATTTCCCCTGTCATCCAAAAACAAACTTGACAATGAGCCAAAATAAGTGCATTTTGTGAGCAATTCCATTATAAATAGCAGTACATTAATGAATACACACATATAGGCTTGTTGCTTGAACCTTGAAGTTTGAAAGTAAGAAAGATACAAGTTATGAATATAAATTATACCTAGTTCATTATCTGGGTTGTGAAAGATAACAATTAGCTTAAACACGCAAATGGCCCTATCAAAACCTCCACGAAAAACTGCTATGCATTTTGAATGGTTATTTGTGCTTGAATTCTTACATGACCTTGCTTTGCCTTATACTCTTAGCCATCAATACTAATGAGTTTAGATATCTAGTATTTTATCTGAAACAAATATCTAACCATCTACATAAACAAGTTGAAGTGCATATGATAACCAAATAAAGATAACCAGAATACTACACATGATAACAAAGATATTCCCCACATTTAGACTTTGGCTCAATTGACAAAGGTTCGTGTAATGTGAAACTTAATCAGTTAAGAAAAAAATACACGTTGAATACTAATTAAACTTTTAATAACAGTGTTGATCAATAGTTGTATTTACTTATCATGGCTGTTGTTTTGTTATCTTTAACTCCATCAATGTATTCTGATTAAGAACTTTCCTATTTATGCTCAAGTGATGGAAAGCTTGAGGTAGTAGTTCCCTCTTTTGTGCATTACTTGGAAGTCCTAGAGGGTGCTGATTGGGATAAAGTGCCAAGTACACCTTTGCTTGTAGAGTTGAAATGAAGTTTGGATAGAGAAATATTTCCTAGATTCACTTTGATAAGTAAATACTTGTTTAAGTTTTTCTTATTGACAATGGAGGACTAATTTGTTAATCACATTGTTTCATAATGAACATTAGGGAGAAAAGATTTAATCTACAGAAGACTAGGGATTATTTTGGCTGTTATCATCTAGATGAGGTGATATTTCTATAAGTTGTTACATAAATTTATCAAGATGGCCTGCTTTTAATCAGTCTACTGTTCTATCCTGTTTTTCAAGTAACAGAACTAATTATTCAAAATGTTCTGTAGGAGCATTATTTAAGGAAAGAAAAAAATCTGACTCATTTCATTGCATTTATGGAAATAGGGCGTCAGGTTACATGATGTCAGTTAAACTAGAGATTCCTAGATTGAAAGTGAAAAAGGATTGGTATGTGAGTTAGCATCCAGACCCTGTGATCGTTCACATCCAAATGTACATGATGACTAGTTGATGCAGGAGGCTATTATTGAGTCACTAACTTGTACGTATATTATTCATTACTTATCAAAATTTAAACAACATATGCAGAATTGAAAAATGAAAAGTGAAGGCCAATAATATCAACTACATGTGATGGCAAAGAAAAAAAACAACAACGTCACACAACCAAATAACAAGTGTTACCTTCATTCTTAATTCCAACAAGAAGTTCACCCTCTTCCCTAGTTACAACCACTGAGAAGGAAATCTAATTAGAGCTACATCTCTTGAGTAGGCAGTTTAATAAAGTGAAGAAAATAACACTACACCAAGAGTAAAATAGCATAATAGTGAACCTTGTTTTTGGGAAAAACACAATTATTTCTACTTCTGGAGCTAAACCGAAACTTCCACAACCAAAACTTAAGGTAAAAATGCTTCCTTCATCACTAATAATCCAATGACATGGGAGATTTGATCGGAAAGAGTCGAAGGCGGGGTATGGGTTTTAGTAAAACTAAAAGCACTTGTTTTAGCCAAAAAAAAAAAAAAATGGTGGATAATGGAAGTGTATGAAAAAAGTCCTTTTCTAGTAAAGGATTATCCTCATCCATTATTTATTTTAATTGAATGCTCTAAAATTTTGTC